TCGTAGTAGTAGTAGTAGTAGTAGTTGTAGTTGTAGTCGTAGTCGTAGTAGTAGTAGTAGTAGTAGTAGTAGTAGTAGTAGTAGTAGTAGTAAGAGTAGTAAGAATAGAAAAAAACTACGTAACCCACCATGTAAACCACTGCATAGAAGTAGCCGGGCTAGCAAAAGCAGCAGGAGGTTAGTCGTAGTAGTAGTAATAGTCGTCGTCGTCGTAGTAGTAGTCAGCGTAGGAGGTAGTAGTCGTAGTAGTAGTAGTAGTAGTAGTGTAGTAGTAGTAGTAGTAGTAGTAGTAGTAGTAGTAGTAGTAGTAGTAGTAGTAGTAGTAGTAGTAGTAGTAGTCGTAGTAGTAGTAGTAGTAGTAGTAGTAGTAGTAGTAGTAGTAGTAGTAGTAGTAGTAGTAGTAGTAGTAGTAGTAGTAGTAGTAGTAGTAGTAGTAGTAGTAGTAGTAGTAGTAGTAGTAGTAGTAGTAGTAGTAGTAGTAGTAGTAGTAGTAGTAGTAGTAGTAGTAGTAGTAGTAGTAGTAGTAGTAGTAGTAGTAGTAGTAGTAGTAGTAGTAGTAGTAGTAGTAGTAGTAGTAGTAGTAGTAGTAGTAGTAGTAGTAGTAGTAGTAGTAGTAGTAGTAGTAGTAGTAGTAGTAGTAGTAGTAGTAGTAGTAGTAGTAGTAGTAGTAGTAGTAGTAGTAGTAGTAGTAGTAGTAGTAGTAGTAGTAGTAGTAGTAGTAGTAGTAGTAGTAGTAGTAGTAGTAGTAGTAGTAGTAGTAGTAGTAGTAGTCGTAGTAGTAGTAGTAGGAGTAGTAGTACAAGAAATAGGAGTAGTAGCAAACGTAGTGATCGGAGCAGGCGTAATAATCGGAGCTGGAAGAGTAGAAGGAGTCGGAATCGGAATAATAAGGGGAGGATGTGTTGTAGTAATAGTCGGAGTAGGAATAGGAGTAGTAGCAGGAGTCAGAGGAGTGGGAGTAGTAGTAGGAGTCGGAGTAGGAGTAGTAGTAGGAGTTGTAGGAGTATGCGTTGGAGGAGTAGTAGGAGTAGGGGTAGTAGTAGGAGTAGGAGTTGTAGTAGGAGTAGGGGTAGTAGCAAGAGTGTGAAGCACAATACGCTAACACACTACGTAACATCACTACGTAGAAGTAGTAAGAGTAGCAGGAGTAGCCGTATGAGTAGTACTCATAGTAGGAGTAAGAGTTGTAGTAGGAGTCGGATTAGTAATAGGAGTGGGAGAAGGACTACGCGAAACCGTTGCGAGCAAAATGGAGGGAACACGCGCGACGCACACAAACACAACGAAACACATACTGAACGAACACCTGCCGCAACCAAAGCGCTGCGCAGAAACACTACGCGAAAAAAACGCTTCGCTCAAACGCTGCGTCAAAACAAACAAAGACTTAGCAGAAACGCTGCGCGACGAAAGCGCCACGCGAAAACTCTACGCCGAAGATCTCTGCGCACCTATGCGACGCCGAAAACATTACGCAAAGACCCTGCGCAAACACCCTACGCAAAAACACGACGCAAACACCACTACGCAACATCACTACGCAAAAACACTGCGCAGAACCCCTACGCAAACTGAATACCACGCGAACGCAGCACGCCAACGCAGTAGACGAAAACATCACGCGAAAACGTTACGATAAAAAAGAAGCGCGGCGCAAACAAAACAAACTGGACGAACAACCACATTGAGCGAACACCATTCGCAATCAAAACGCTGCGCAGAAACGCTACGCGAACAAAACCGCTTCGCAGAAACGCTACGGAAAAATACAAGAAACACAACAACACTTCGCAGAAACGCTGCGCGACGAAAACACCACGCGAAAACTCTATGCCGAAGAACGCTACGAGCAAACGCGGCGCCGAAGTACATCACGCGAAGACCCTTTGCGAACCCCCTGCGCAACCGAGCAACAACCCTACGTCAAAACGACACGCCAAAACAATACGCAAATACCCTACGCAAATACACTGCGCATACACACTACGCAAAAACACTACGCAAAAACACTCCGCAAAAACACTCCGCAAAAACACGGCGCACAAATACTACGCAAAAACACAACGCAAAAACACTACGCAAAACCACTACGCAAAAACACGGCTCAAAGATACTACGCAAAAACACTACGCATATTATTTCAGCATGCGCAGAAGCACTACGCAAAAACCCTACGCAGATTATTCCAGCATTCGGATGGCCTCTCCTCCCTCCCTCTCTCGCTTCTCGGCTCCTCGCTTTCCTGCCCGCTTCTGCCCGTCGCCTGGGCCGCTGCTCTCTGTCGGCCCGTCCCTTGGTCCGTACAGAGACCTGTTGTCTCGCGGAGCCGCAGATCCCGTCGACGGCTTCTCGGTCGTCCTCGGGGGCCATCGACGAGCCCGTCCCTGCAGGCGTCCCGAGTTGGCCCCCCTGCGGCCCAGCGAGGAGCGGACACGCGGAGCCAAAACACTCTGCCCTTCCTCATGGCCGCCCCTGCGCACATCCCCGGGGGGGGGGCTGCCTCCGCTGCCCTGCCCTCCTCCCAGTTCAGCCACGTGAACGCGGCGAACAGGAGCACGAAGAAGGCCAGGCCGACCAACAACTGGGCGTGCAGAGGTCCGGGACGGGAGGGGGCGGCACTCGGGGAGGTCGGGGCGGGAGAGGCGGCCTTCGGGCTTTGCCCTCGGCCCTCGGCGGTCTGACGTACTGTCGGCCCTGGGCCGGGCCTCCAGAGGCCTCCGGGGGCCTCTGGGGACCTCCAGGGTCGGGATCCGGGGCGGTGCTTTTGCGCTCTGCTCGCCAGGCGCGGCCTCGCCTGTGTCCAGGGCTATGGCCACGTGGGCCTTGGGCAAGAGTGGCGCTGCGAGCGCCCATCATACGCGTACGCGTGCGCGTGCGATCATGCCAGGCTGGTGCTGACGTGGTGGGTGGACGTCGGCGGACCGCTGTAAGGCGACCAGCTCTTAACCGTCCAGCCACTCGTGAACGCACGCTGGGCGTCTCAATGTGGCGGGCAGTAGAGGCCTCCCAAGCGGGGTCCGAGTGGATACAGTCGGGCTGCCGAAATAAGGAACGCTAAAGAAGGATCGAAGCCCCCCCTATGGCTTCAAAAAAGCCCGGGTGCACGAGGAGGGCTAGGAGGAACAACCGCGGAAGGACGTGAGGAACATCGAGCCCCGACCGAAACCAACCTGTTCCTTACTTCAGCGTCTTGGCTGTCGGGGTGGAGGGTCGCGCCGTCGGCGATGCGTCGGCGCCGCCGGCGCGGAGAAAGCCCGGCGCCACATCGAGCCGCGCCGCCGATGCTTCGGCGACGGGGCGCGCGGCCCTCCGCTCCCATGGGCTCGGGCGCCATCCGGGAGGCCTGGAGGCGTGGGCCGTCTTCGCCGAGCGCGTTCCACTGCTCGCAGAGTGACTGCTCGCAGATGGCCTGGATCCCCCGCGGGGGATCTACGACAAATGACGTAAAATCAGACATGTGTTTTTCGGACGTCTGCGAGTGGGCTCTTTGCGAACGGTGGAGCGCGCTCGGCGATGTCTGCCTGGGCCAGCCGGCATCCGTCGAACACTCAATGCAACCCCGTCCCCAAACAAAAACGATTCCTGCGAGAGGCCAAGCCATCTGGGCGATTTCTGGAACCCTGAACCCAAACATTGCTCCCATCTCTTGGAAGCACATCTTTCACTTCCGCCGCCTTGCGCTGAGCTTCCGCTGGCGGAGGCAGCCTCGTTTCACTTCCGCCGCCCTTCCGCCGCCGTCTGCCGAGGAAGAGATGACAACTCCTTCGATCCTCGAAGGCAAGGCCCTTTCTGGAAGTCCCCATAAGCAGTCGTAAATACCGCGGTAGTGAATCTCGTCTTCGGTGGAGCTCCCCATGGGGCCACGAAGCGTGTGAGGGATGTGCCGAGATTTGCGCGCTGCCACTGGGGCCTTCGGTGGCGCTCACTGTGGGGCCACGAAGCGTGTGAAGGATGTGCTGAAACGGGTGCGACGGTGCCATGCGGGCGCTGCCACTGGGGCCTTAGATGTAGCTCCCTGTGGGACCACGACAAGTGTGAGGAGTGTACCGAAATGGGTGCGGCGGTGCCATGCGGGCGGTGCCACTGGGGCCTTCGGTGGAGCTCCCTGTGCGGCCACGAAACATGTGAAGGATGTGCTGAAATGAGTGCGGCGGTGCCATGCGGGCGCTGCCACTGGGGCCTTAGATGTAGCTCCCTGTGGGACCACGACAAGTGTGAGGAGTGTACCGAAAAGGGTGCGGCGGTGCTATGCAGGCGCTGCCACTGGGGCCTTCGGTGGAGCTTCCTGTGGGGCCACGAAACGTGTGAGGGGTTCGCCGAACTGTTTTACATGCGGAGGGCAGAGGCAGGGATGGGAGGAGGGAGCAGGGAGGAGGGGTGAGGAGGAGGAGGACGAGGAGGAGGAGGATGCGGTGCGTTGCTGATTCAAAACGGCCACCAGACTCAATACAGGATGGAAGCAGAAAGCCCACCGCCGTCCTCCAGGAGCGCGGCCCCAGCCGTTGGTCGAACAGTGCTCCTGTGCAACCCGCTCCGCCATCGGCGGGGGGTAGGAGCGATCCCAGCCCGTCCAGGGAACAAACTCTCGGGAATCGGGTCCCGGCCAGACCCTGCCGACGGCGCGCCTTCGTGCCAAGCAAGCGACCAGAACACCCCTCGCTGCGAACGGGCGCGCAGCGCAGAAGACGGATACGCGCGCCGCGCGTGCCGAGCGCAGCGCCAATCGGCCAAAAATCCGCTCGGCCCGCCCCGCTCCTCGGGCCCACTTCTTGCCAACGAGCCGCCCGGCCGCGCCTCTTGGTGCACGAGTCGGTTAGGCGTAAGAGTGACCCTGGGTAAGAGTGACCTTTGGTGCGCAGCTTTTGGGGGCGCGAGGGAGCCAAACCCAAGGGCGCAGGGCCGCTTAAATTGCATCGCGCCCGGCGATCGGGGGGAGCCCGATGAGCCCGCACCAAAGGTCACTCCGGCGAAAGGTCACTCTTACGTGTAGTCGAACGAGGCGCCTCCCGGCCTCGCCGCCGGGCCACGTGCCTCTGACTGCGTGCTGGCCGCGGCGCCGTAGGAAGCTTCGCGCAGCCCCGCCGGTCCGTCCAGAAGCGCTCTCCAGGCGCGAGGAGGCATGCAGGTCTCTTCGCGGGGCTGTGCTCGGCCGGCGGGCGTCCGAGGGGCAGATCGCGGCGGGCCTGGCTGGTGTCCCGAAGGGCAGGTCGAGGCACGAACGGATCCGGTGCATGAGGAGCGGCACTCGCCATCGCTCGGAAGTCCGTTCTCTGTGTTTTCTTCGGTTTCGTGCGTGCTTTTCCGCCAAATGATCAAGGATGCTCCTCGATGGTCCTCGCCGAAGGAAAAAGTGCACACGTCCGAGCGATGCCAAGGGCAGGGGGATGGCAGGGCGGGGCCAGCCCGCCGCCCGACGCCCTTGGCGGGGGCGGACGGCCGCCGCGTCCTCCGTGCAGGACCGCGTGTTCGCGCTGTGCGTTGCCGCGGGCCCACGCGGACAATGAACGAGGACGGGGGGCAACGGAATCCCATCTCGAGCCATCCGCCCCGCAGTCGGGGCCGCGAAGAGTACAAGCCTCCAGCGGGGACGGGCAGTCCTCTGGGCGCTGGAGATCGGACGCCTCGCTGCTGAGGACCACTTCGGCTCCTGCCCGTACCCGTCCGAAGCTGAATGAGGTCCTGGCGCGGATGATGAGATATGAGCTCATGCGCTGCACCAGTGAGAACGTTGTCAATGAAGCATCGTACCTTCAGCAACACATCGGTGATTTCTGCTGGGCCGAGCTCAAAGAGCAACGACAGCACAGAAGTGGCCCTGATTAGGGGAACGAGAAGTGACATAAACATAAAGACTCGGAGGTCCGCGCGGATTTCTCGGATCGGCGCTGGACCCCCCTCCCTGGCGCGCGGAGCGCGCCAGGGGCGGCGCCGGAGGCGCCGCTGGGGGGCCCCAGCGCCGATCCGAGAAATCCGCGCGGACCTCCGAGTTTTTATGTTTATGGCACTTCTCGTTCCCCTACTAGTGCTTGCAGTCCGATTTGGCGAGGCCCGGAACCGCAGAGCGGTGCGGACGGCGCGAGCGCGTGCCAAACTCTTGCGAGGCTGTGGCCGGGTCGAGCTGCAGTCCCCTGTGGTCTGGCCTTCCGTGCTGGCGTCCCGGAGCGCGCAGAGCCCGAGCTCATCCTTCCAGCTATCGTTAAGTCGGGCCTGTCCCCCTACAGGGGGATTTTCGACGAAAACTAAAAAATACCCCCACAATTCCCCCCAAAGGTAAAAACAATTATTCAAAGCATAGTCCCCAGACTATTTTTGGACTATTTTTTGAATGTTTCTTATTTTTGTCGAAAATCCCCCTGTAGGGGGACACGCCCGACATAAAGCTATCGGCGGCTGCGCCCCGCGTCCCCCGACCAGGCCGAGGTCGAGGGGCTTGGGGGCCCCGGGGGCCCTGCTTGGGTCACTTTTGGGCTCATGCCGGCTCGTAGCTTTGCGATTGTTCCAGCATCGGCAGGGTGTTCGCGATACCAGAAGAAGACCAATCATAATATTGTATGATGGGTACACAGGACTCGAACTGGCAGATTGCTCAGAACTGCGAAAAGATAAGCTTGGCTCGCAATCTCGGCAATCTGGATGTAACAACGCCGCCGTCAGCGCGGCTGTCACCCGAAGGATTCCGACGCCGTTCAGGTCCAGAAATGGGAGCGACGGTCGCTTCACACCTGTCATGCGACGACAAATTGATTCTCGCAAGCTTTTGCACGCCCGTACGTTGTGGGGAATAAGCCCCTACATCACGACAGCACAAGCAGCTTTGCATATGCCTGTGCAAACTGATGAATTCTGAGGGCCCCACGCTCCTGGTCTCGCGAAAGTTGTCACTCATTCTGGATGCAACTGACCCTCAAGCTCGTCTAAGGCGCCGTCACTGGTTGCTCGCCAAAAACTGGATGTTCTTTGGGTGTGTGCATGAACTGAGAAGGCGGTGGGACGGGTCGGCGGACATAAACCTGCCGTTCAATGACTCCTCCCTCTGCTGGCACTTACTTCCTTTCTATGTCATGGCACCTGGCGAACTCGGCAATCTTTGGATCCGGATCTCAGTCCGAATCAAGCCACCCTGACCTCCGACGTCGGGGAAGAAGTACGATGCCACGAAACCCGTGCGATCTCATGCCTGATTTCTCAACGCTCGCAACGGCACACCAGTGCCGTGGTGATCACTCCGCTCCATGACTTGGGCCTCAAGCGGCCGCTTGGAACTGCTCGGCCTCCCCTGAAAGATCTCGCCGAAGCGCCGGTGATGAAGCCGGCCCGCTGAAACCACCGTCGGGCCAGAGCATCTCCGGGAGCCCCCTGGGTCCGAGAAGCCCAGCACACCTCAGGCCAGACCGCCCTTTCTCCTCTCTTCCCTCCCGCCGCCGGCACCCGCGGTCACCTCCGCCCCCTCGCGCCGCGCCCCTGGAAAGGAACAGCTCTCTGGCATCTGGCCGGAGGCCGCCCGAATGGGGTCGAATCAGGCGGGGTGGAGGATCGGAACGCATCGCTGATGCATCCGCGATGCGGTGCGATGCTCGAGCTCCGTCTGCTCGAATCCCGTTCCCACGCCACAAGCCCGGGAAATCCCGACCCGTTCTCCAGGGCCGGCTCTTCGTACCGAGCCCTTCTTTTGACGGTCCCGGAGCCCGAACTCGGCCCTGGGAGGCCGAACACGAAGAGACATTTGTTTTTTTTGGCCGCAGCGGAGGCGATCGCGCATCGCGTCCGTAGCCTGAGCGGGCGCACTGCTAGTCCCTCCCCACCCGATCAACGACAAATCAGGAACACTGCCGACACACCTCCGCCATCCATTTCAGCACACAAGACAACATGCACACTGCGGATCGTGTTCGGGCGCCACGCGATCCCTCGACAGCATTGTTGTTGGACATGGGGCGAGAGGGTTCTCAGCACATTCTTCCACGTGCGCGGGCCCACGACCCCTAGCCAAAACCAGGGCAAAGTGCAGGCTGCGGCACAATCTCGGACCATGCGCAGGCGCGCGCGGCGCACCTCGCGGGCGTGGCGCATCTGGCTGGCGTTTGCATTGGTCCTCGATGGTTGTCGATTGCGGCCGCTGTCCACACTGAGACTCGGGTGCTACTGATGTCTGGGAGAGCAAATGGGAATGAGCGAGACGGCTTGCAGCTTGTGGGTAGCTTGACTCCTCCCCCTCCCCCCTCCCCCTGGATCTGGACAGGGGGGGCCGCGAAGGGGTAGAGCGTCCAAGAAGGCCTCAGCGAGAAAGCAACAACCATTGAGTGCATATTGTTCTAAACCGATAATGGCCTCAGGGGGGGTCTAATCCGCGCCGTCACCAAGAGGCCACCGAAAGGTCCCTAAGCGGCCCACAAGAAGCCCCAAGAAACCCCCCAGAAGCACCCAAGACGCTCCAAGAGGCCCCCCAATTGCCGGCAAGAGTCCCCCAAGACGCCCCAAGTGGCCTCGAAATGGTCCTCAAGATACACCCCGAGAGACCCCAAGAAATATCCAAGCAACCTCTGACCCGCTCAAGCCCCCGAGATCCCCAAATGATGCCACGCTCTCCCGTTCAGGGCAGCTCGCTGGGCATCCTGTCTTGATGGGCTGGTGTTAGGTCGGGCATGTCCTCCTACAGGCGGCTTTTTTGACGACGAGTAGAATCTAGTCCAAACATACTCAAACATAATCCAAACTTAATAATAACATCGCCCCCATACATTTCTTGTGATAATTTTTGAATTGTCCTCCTGTAGAGGGGCGTACCCGACTTAAGGCTGGTGGGGATACGCACAGCGTGGATGATCATCGACGTCGGCGCTGTTCGCAGAGGCACGAGCACGCGAGCGTCTGGGGCGCCTCCGGGGCCCCAGCTCTGGCCAAGATCGGCGCCTTCCCCGCAACACGCCGACCAGGGCATCCCTCATGTGAACTCAGCCGATCAAGATGGCCCCTAGCTGGTCCCAAATCTCCGACGTCCTGTTTTTCCCAACCATCCCGTGGAGCCAAGTCCTCGATTTGGAAGAGGCAGCGCCCCGCGTCTCCCTCCTATTTTCATCCCCCCCCTCCTCCCTCCGCCCATCTCTGTCTTTGCTCTCCGCGTGTCCACTATGTCGGCGCGCCCCTCACGCGCTTCGTGACCCCCCATTATAACGTTTCGTGGCCCCACAGGGAGCTCCACCCAAGGTCCCAATGGTGCCATTCGCATGCGTCCACGCCGCCCATTTCGGCACACACCTCACAGATTCGTGGCCCCGCGAGGAACTTCACCCAAGGCCCCCATGGCGCCGTTCGCATGCGTCCGCGCTGGGAATTTCGGCACACCACTCACACGTTTCGTAGCCCCACAAAGAGCTACAATCAAGATCCGAATGGTGCCGTGCGCATGCGCCCGCGCCGCCCATTTCAGCACACCCCTCACACGTTTCGTGGCCCCGTAGAGAATTCAACAGGAGGCCACAGTGGGAGGCTCCACATGCGTCCCCGCCCTCCTACTTCGGCACGCCCTTCGTACATTTCGTGTGCCGCAAGGGAGCTCCACCGAAGGCCCCAGTGGGAGGGTCCACAAGCATCTCCCCGCCGCTTTTCGGCACACCCCTCGCACGTTTCGTGCCCCAATAAAGAGCTCCATCGAAGACCCCAGAGGGAGGGTCCCCATGCATCCGCTCGCCACAAATTTCGGCACACCCCTCACACGTTTCGTGGCCCCATGAGGAGCTCCACCGAAGGTCTCAATGGCGCAGCCCGCATGCGTCCCGCCACCCATTTCGGCACACCCCACAAACGTTTCGTGGCCCCTTAGGGACTACGGCCCCGTTGGCAGCGCCCGCATGGCGGCCTCGCCCCATTTCGGCACACGCTTCACGCGCTTCGTGGCCCCAGAAGGAGATCCACTGAAGGCGATACTCACAAGGACGGGAATCACAACTGCCTGTGGTTGGGTCCTTCGCCAAACTGATTGTCTCAACGCGGACCCCCAATGGTCCAGGCCCCCCGAGGCCGGAAATGGCCAAAGACCTCCCGTTGTGATCTGTCGCTGCAACGGGAAGCTGCCCTGGGACCTGGGCGCCCGAGGGCCGCGCGGGCCGCGTCGGCTCGGGCCTCCGAGTGCCGCGCGGGTCCGGGGCCGCAGGATCTTCGAAGCCTCGACCCTAGATCTCTGAGAGTCTCGGCCCCCCCCCCCCCTCTCTCTTGATCCTCCACCCTCGCGCCCCGAAGGCCTCGGCCCCCCGACCCTCGAAGCCTCGAGCCCTCGAGGCGACCTGGGCGCCCGAGGGCCGCGCTGGCCACATCGGCTCCTCGTCCTTGCCGAGCTCGGCCGCCGCCGCCGCCCCGCCGTGCGCGGCGGTGCGGCCGGCGGCGGGCTCGTGCGAGACCTGGCGCGCGGGGGCCCAGCGGGCCGGCGGCCGATCCAGGCCCCTCCTCCTGCTCTCCCTCCTCCTGCTCCTCCTGCTCCTCCTCCTCCTCCTCCTGCTCCTCCTTCTCCTCCTCCTCCTCCTCCTCCTCCTCCTCCTCTTCCTCCTCCTCCTCCTCCTCCCTCCAGGCTCCAGGCAGGGAATGCTAGGGGCGCCCTTCAATTTTTGTCTGGGTCCACCTTCGCGGCGACGAGGCGGGGGGCGCGAACCCCTGTCGCTCATCCCCTGTTACATCTTCCGCTTTCGGGTATTGTACTTCTGTCCAGAGCCAGCGCGCTGGCCCACATTGATGGAGGCAAGCCGCGACACATAGAGTGTTCAACAGTATTTCCACGATATCCATTATTTCCAGCAGGTGCATCATTACGAAAAGGCAGCAACCTGAAACTGAGCCAGCCTGGAATCGACGTGCTCGGGCAGCTCGGGCTACGGCTAGAATCGTAACAAGGCTGTCCACAACTGACGTCATCCAGGCACGACGTTGGTTCGCAGCTCACTGTCCAGCAAATATGTCACAACCTTGGTTCTGTACTTCGTGTGCGACGGCCAACTTCCTCGATCGTGCGACGTGCCGTGTGTGCGATGCTACGAGACTGGGAGTGGGGTCAGGCAATGCTGCTGGCGATCAGGGCGGCCGAGGCACAGGCAAAAGCAAAGGGGGACGGGGCAAAGGAAAAGGCAGAGACCGTGCCGATGGGGCTGTTGCTCCAGACCTCACTCGTGTACCTCCACCGCCCAAGCCTGCCTCGGTTGGCGTCGCGCAGGCAGCACCAGTAAGACCTCCAAGAAGACCGTCGAGACCGAGAGAGCGTTCAACAGCTGTCACTTTCGCGGACGAGGCGGAGTCGGAGCACAAACACATAAAGAACAATCATCGTTGGAGTTTGAGCGTGATTCCTGCGCTGCCGTCAGATGCGCGCTGTCACCCTTATTTCCTAGGAGAGCTCGACAGCGATGCCACAGCAGCACTGAGAAACGATTTCATTCCAGATTGTCGCAGTCAGCTACGTGTGCTGGCGGGAACCGTTCGTCACATAAATAAAACAAGTGAGATGGCTCACGAAGAGAGGTCATAGTAATCGTCGGTACTCACAACTATCCATCTGTGTGGGCCCTTCGTTCAACAGCTCAGTCGGCAACAACATGGATTAAACAGGACCGTCATCAGACAGGAAACTATTCAGAAACATATGAAAATTACACAGAAGCGTCTTGCTCGACTGGAGGAGCAAGCTAACCTGGCCGACAAGTGGTCAGAGCGGCGCTCGACGAGATACGTTCTACGGCATCACCAGAGGATATGCAAGCCGACGGCGACCAAAAGGTTCCAGAGTCTGGTGCCGCACCCGTGCGGCCGCTCCCGGCTGGTTTGGTCAAGAGTGCAGGCAGTCAACCTCAACCTCCTCCGCAGCAAGCACAGCCTCAGCAGCATCCAGTACAGCAGCAGGAGCCCCCAGGCAGGGCCGCCATGCAGACACGACTGGCCCTGTTGGTAAACGTCCTTCGACCTTGTTCGCAGGGAGCACGAGGCACTTGTGACAGCACTGGCAGCTGGTCCAGGACAAGTGCTGCAACCACCGAACCCGACAGGCTTTGCAGAGGTGCAGGCTGGGGCTGCTGCAGCTGCTCGCCACCTTACTCGGAGTCTCACACCCGACCCCAGCGAGCTGCCGTTCGGATGCCACCGACTCAGAGGCCCGCGGCGAACCAGGATCGCTCTTTTCGCAGTCGAGATCGTGAGCACAGTCGAGACGGCCGCGGGAGGAGTGGGAGGATGGAGGCAGCCGACCATACGATCAAGTCACGTGCTGGGCCCGAATCCGACGACGGTCTCGACGGCGAAGTGTCGGGATCAGCGGGATCGGGAGGGGTAACCGGCACCTCCACTCCGATCGGCCAGCCTGACAATCGGAGTCATCCTCTTTTTCCAGGCGCTGTCAAGACGGACTTCGTGCCAGTGCCGCACGTTGCCGGCAGTATGTTTACGCAGTGAAGCTCTCAGATGCATCTCGACTTGGAGCCATGTCAACGGTATGTTTGAGCTCTTGTGTTGATTTCGTGCATGCGCTCTCGTCTTGGGAAGTTAACTTGGATGAGGTTGAGAGAATTGATATCTACACGAACGGTAGAGGAGGACCGCTGAAGGTGCTACCTGCTAGGGCTTTTGTGTCTTGGTTGTCAAACACGATGATGCATCTCAATACTGAACGGGACTTGCAGTCTCTTTTTCGCGAGAGACACGTTTGCAGTGCTGCGTACCTAGCTTAGCTTAGCCTTGTTTCGGAATCCCTCTCATTGTTGTGGGCTATGTCTTGGGATGTGCAGTCTCCATTCCCGAATGTATTGTTTTATCATCGCTTTGATACATTAATGGTGATGTATGGTGCCCTGGGGCAGCAGGACATGCTTCCGCTTGGAGGCTTACCTGACTTTTAAGGTCCCTGTATTACAGATTGATTTGCGCGCGTACGGTACGTGTTGCACATGGTCATGCTCATGCTCACCGCCCGCTCAACGAGATAACTGATACACTTGCTGCCGTAACTGGGCTTGGTCATATCCAATAACCAGATGAATGCCCTTGTATACCCCTACTTCAGGACGTGGTGTCTGCTTAGTGGACCTCGCTCCAATTGCTTCCCGAGGACCTCAGAGCACAGTATACGCAGCAAAACAATAATCAGCTAGTGGTCTGGGATACTGGGTCCCAACATCTTTGCCCAACTGTTTCCGCTCCAGTTGGCACATTTCCTGACCTGTTTCAGTCGGAGAGTGTTGCGCCCACAAGCGACGAAGTGTCTCATGGCTGGGCACCGCCAGGACGAGCCCCGCAGATTGCGAGCCGAAGTCGCACAAGACTGGGGGCAACTTGCGAAAATCCAAAAGGTCACGCACGGCAATCTGTTTGTGGATGCGGATGCAGCTGCGGCGCGCGGAACACGATGCGACACTTTCTCATGAGCGCGTGCAAAGCTCGCGGCGGGGGAGGCGCAGGACTGACTGCAAAGCGCAGGGCAGGAGAGACATATTCCGATCGGCGACAGCAGCGCGGGCCTTTCTTCCACAAGCCTGGCATCGACTCCACACCAGCCCATGATCCCCTTCCCTGGGTGGGACAATCATCGCCCCCCCTTGATCCGCTGTGCGGGTTGGGCATGTGCTGTCGGAACGCATGGAGGGGGGGTTGGAGGAAGAGGAGGAGGATGAGGAGGAGGAGGAGGAGGAGGAGGAGGAGGAGGAGGAGGAGGAGGAGGAGGAGGAGGAGGAGGATGGAGCGGGGCGGGATTGGGTAAGCTCAGACGGAAGGCTAATCACCCCCCCCTCGAGAGATACCCCATCCAGAGTTCGCTTTCGATCCGCAGGTGCGGAGCCAGGCGGGGAGGGAGCCGACCAGCGCGCGGCTCGAGGGAACGCGAGGGATGGCCGCGCCGTAAAAGGATGCCCGCGGCCCATGAGGCGCCCATCTCGCCGACGCATCCTTCGCGGCCAGAGGGCGCTGCCCGGAAGCAAGAGGGCGAAGAACCGGTCGCGGAGTCCAACGAAACGCAGAAAGGCAACTCTACGCATAACCAGCCGACAGAAGACGGAACGGATTTCAGCGATCGCGGGTGCGGAGCGAAGCGGAAGGACAGCCGCCAGGTTCGTTGCTGCGGGGGCCCGAGAACGAAGATCGGCCTCTGAGCGTGTGCGGCATATGAGCGCGAACCGAGCTTATGATCAGGTGGGCTCGTGCAGGCTCACCCTGGCAGAGAAGTGCAGGAGGTGAAGCATCGGCGCGCACGCACCTGAGAAGGAGGAGGAGGAGGAGGAGGAGGAGGAGGAGGAGGAGGAGGAGGAGGAGGAGGCTGTGCTCAGGTTCTCGCCGTGGGGCAACGTGGCCACGGCGCGGCTATGCTCGAGAACCCATGGACGTGGCGTGGCCAGGCGGCACCAGGGCCAGAGCAAAAAACAGCTCGACTCTCCGCTGACCTACAGGAGTCGGGACAGCGCTTGCAGACCCCACATCCCGCTGGATTTAAGTCGGGCCTGTCCCCCTGGGGGATTTTCGACGGAAAATAAAAAATACCACACAAATAATCAAAACATAGTCCAAAAATAGCCTGGGGACTATTTTTTGTTTTTTTCTGCCATTTTGGAGCATTTTCGGGGTATTTTGCATATTTCGTCGAAAATCCCCCTGTAGGGGGACACGCCCGACTTAACACTGGATGAAGGCGGTAAGCAGAGTCCGCCAATCACGCGACCGCCGCGTGAGCCACCGCAATGATGGTGGAAACGTGAGCTGAAATGCACACCCGGCACAGACTGAGAGCGTGACCGCTGCTCAGCTTTGCCGACGACGTTCGAGGATCGAGGACGGGGAGGTTGTGAGGCTCTTGCGGCTTTCTCTGGGCCTCTCGAGGCCTCCAAGGACCTCTGGGGTCCTCTGGGGAGCTCAAATGACCTCCAGGGGTCGGGATCCCGGACGCCGTGACCACCCCTGGCTGCTGCTGCATCGTCCTCGCAATCTGGGCTACCATCATCATGCTGTCTGTCGACGCTGTGCTGGCTTTGCCCTGTACTGGAGTGCGTAGCCCCGCTGGACCTGCTACAGTGGCTGTCCCACGAACCGAGTTCGTGCCATCAGGGTCTGATCCCGATCGGGCCCGCACATGCTCTTGACGCCCGAGCTGGGCATTTTCGCGAATCCTCTGCGAACTGCTTGCCGCCTACGGGAAAACCAGCCACAGATCCACTCAGCTCTGCGATCCAGCAGGAACAGTCTCCCGCCACCTCGTCTCCTCTTCTGCCTCCCTTCCAAGAGAAGAGCGGGGAGGCCATCCGTTCGGTGTCGCGGTTTTGCTCATGGCGTGGGCCCCGGAACTCTCAACCCCATCCTCGGGATCGCTTCTTCGCCGTGTGCCGTTCGAGCGGGTCCTGGGGCCCTGAAGCCGCCCTCCAGCGCCAAGGCTGCGAGACACGGCCACCACGAGTTCTCTCGCGACGCGAGAGGCCCAGGGAGGGGTGGCGCCTCCTCGTGCTCCTCCTTCGAGACGCGGGCCTCCTTCGGGAGGGCGCCAACGGCACGCCGGCACTGGTCCTGGCCAGGCACCTTTTGGGCCCAACGTCAATGCACGCGCCCTCCTGGCCTTGCCAGGAGGGCAGATGCACCGATCCCGAAAACAAGATGGGCCCTGCCAGGATCAGAATACATGGCGAGTTCCTGACATGACGGCGCGTGCTCTGACCCAGGTGGCTGGGCGCACCGCTCAATCCTGAACAAATCTCGGACGTCGAGGGTACCCTCGGGCTGCCTGGGGCCTTCACAACCTTGAGCAAAACAAAACACATACGCAGAAGCCTTCGGAGGTCCCGTGCGGATCTCTTGGGTCGGCGCTGGACCGCCCCTCCCTGGCGCGCGAAGCGCGATGGGGGGCCCCAGCGCTGACTTAAGAATTCGGCGCGGACCTCCGACAGTGTGTGTGTGTGTGTGTGCATGCGGATTTTTCCTCCTCGATGGACCGGCCGAGCCCGCGCCGCCGTCGCGCCGAGGCCCGGCGGTGGTGGTGGAACCTGCCAAGAACGCACCGTGCCTCATAGAGGCCGCCTGGCCCCGGAAGGGGGCCCCCCCACAGAAGCTTCTGAGAAAGGGCCGATGCCGTCCGAGACACCCCCCCCCAGCTTCGGGGATCTACTGACCCGGGTTGATCCAGACCCGGATCAGTCCGGCCTTAAAGGGTCCTGCAAAAACCTGCAGGATGCTGCACCCAAGCCAGGGTCCATGCGATCCTGGCCCTGCAGGATCGCGAAAAACCTGGCGCTCTGGTCGAGCCCCGTTGGCACTGACCCGACAGCTCTCGGAAACTATGTATCCTGCGACCGACTCCTCCGGTGCGCGGGCCTCAGGGCCCCGCGACCCACTCCCCCCCGGTGGACTTAGGTCGCGTCCCCCTACAAGGGGATTTTGAGCGAAACATAGAAGCATACGAATTATAGCCGGAATGCACTATCCCCAAACATGGTTTTGAAACCCACTGCGGTTTCCAAGGTCGATTGCGTGCCCGTCCAGTGCGGGCTGGCATGGCGTGTTAGAACATGATAGCAATATGTTTGCACATGATATGTTTACACGAAAAACTGTATGACACATTTCTATCAGGAAGGTAGCGCTAGAGGGTGTCGTACTCTCTCGCACCTGGTCGACGAGTAAGCTGTCGGGTCGGCACTGTCAGAGGCTCAGTTTTGGCGATATCTTGAAGCTCATTGGAAGGTTGTCTCAAACAAAAGGGGCCAGACAACCTCTCGCACACGTTCTGACAAGTCCGCGTCGCACTCGCTTCCCGTTAGGTCCTCTCCTTCAACTCCCTTCCTTCTCCCTCCTCCTCCTCCTCCTCCGCCTCCGCCTCCTCCTCCTCCTCCTCGTCCTCCTCCTCCTCCTCCTCCTCCTCCTCCCCCTCTTCCTGCCTGCTCCGCCATCCACATCCTCCTTCTCCTCCTCCTTCTCCCTTCCATCTCCTCCTTCTTCTCCTTCTCTTCATCCCGAATGGCATCTCGGAGCCCAGAGTTGCGAGGATGTCTGCAGAGTAATGGGCTGGATCACCTCGCGCGCGGCATCTCGGACCCCAGAATTGCGACGATGTCTCGGGCGAAACGTGCTGCGAGGAAGTCTCAGGCGAAACGGGCCGGACCACCTCGAGCGCGGAGTCTCAGAGTTCCGAGTTGCGGGGGCCTCCTGGGGTCTCCTGGGGACCTCCTGGGGCTTCCTCCTGGGCCTCCTGTGGCCTCCTGGATCCCACCTGGGGCTTCCTGAAGCCTCTTGGGGCTCCCAGGGGGGCCACAAGAGCAGGACAAATCAACGAATCGACACCGGATGTGTATTGACTTGGTCGTCCTGCGGCCTCCTGAAGCTCTCTGGGGCCTCCTGGGGCTCCCAAGGTCGCAGGGGGGTTTTGTAACATGTGGTCTTCTGGGCCCCTGGGCTGGACCACCTCTTGCGCGGCATCAGGGCGCTCAGAACTGCGAGAATGTCTTGTGCGAAACGGGCCGGACCACCTTGCGCACGGCATCTCAGAGCTCAGAGTTGCGAGGATGTCTCAGGCGAGACGGGCTGGACCACCTCGCGCAGGGCATTTCAGAGCTCAGAGTTGCGAGGATGTCTCAATCGAGACGGGCCCGACCACCTCGCGCAGGGCATCTCAGAGCTCAGAACTGCGAGGATGTCTCACGCGAAACGGGCTGGACCACGTCGCGCGTGGCATCTCCGAGGTCAAAGTTGCGAGGATGTCTCAGGCAAGCTGGGCTGGACCACCTCTTGCGCGGCAGCTCAGAGCGCAGAATTGCGAGGATGTCTCAAGCGAAACGGACCATACCACCTCGCACGCGGCATCTCAGAGCTCAGACTTGCAAGGATGTCTCAGACGAAACGGGGCCCGACCACCTCTCGCGCGGCATCTCGGAATGCAGCAATGCGAAGGTGTTTCAAATGAAACGGGCCGGACCACCTCTTGGGCGGCATCTCGGGGCTCAGACTTTGGAGGATGTCTCAAGCGAAACGGGCTGGACCACCTCTCGCGCGGCATCAGAGAGCGCAGAATTGCAGGAGTGTTTCAGGCAAAACAGGCCAGACCACCTCGCGCACGGCATATCAGGGCGCAGACTTTGGAGGATGTCTCAAGCGAAACGGGCTGGACCACCTCTTGCGCGGCATCAAGGAGCCTAGAGTTTCGAGGATGTCTCCAACGAAATGGGCTGGACCACCTCTTGCGCGGCATCTCAGAACTCAGAATTGCGAGAATGTCTCAGGCGAAACGCGCCGGACCACCTCGCGCACGGCATCTCAGAGCTCAGAATTTGGAGGATGCCTCAAATGAAACGGGCCGGACCAACTCTCGCGCGGCATCTGGGAGCTCAGAATTTGGAGGATGTCTTAAGCGGAACGGGCCAGACCACCTCTCGCGCGGCATCTAGGAGTTCAGAATTTCGAGGATGTCTCAAGCGAAACGGGACGGACCACCTCTTGCGCGGCATCTGGGAACTCAGAGTTTGGAGGATGTCTCACGCGAAACGCCCAATCCCGGACAAGTCAGAAACGAGAGTTGCGAGGATGTCTCAGGCGAAACGGCCTGGACCACCACATGTTTTTGAGCACGTCTCTGCTTTGACTTCCCTCGGCCGGAGTTGGCTTGTTTCACAACAGCACCCCGTTCGGCAAACTGTGTTTGTAGAAAAAAATACCCCCCAAAATATTCAAAAATATGAAGAAATCGTCACCGTGCTATTTTTGGACTACTTTTGCATGTTCCTCCTGCCACCAGGCTCCTGCTGAAGGCGTCCCTTTGCAAAAACTTCGGCTTCGGCACCGCCCGTATCCGAGGCTATGCCTCCTCTCGGCCTTGCTCTGAGGCTCCGCCGCTTCCTGCCTCCTCTTCTCTGCCTCATTCTAACTTCGCGCGGCCCGCTTAGCTTCGACCGGAAGAAGGGGTGCGCTCTCGACCCGCGGATCAACAGCACCCCGTTCAGCAAGCTGTTTTGGGGAAAACATGCCCCCCCCAAATATGCAAAAATATAATCAAAAATCGTCACCGTGCTGTTTTTGGATCATTTTTGCGTGTTCCTTCTGTAGAGGGACAGGCCATCGTCGGCGAAGAGGGGCAGGAGGCGGCGGGAGGCGGGAGGAGGAGGAGGAGGAGGACGCGACCACACCCCTCTATTCAAAATGAATACCCAACAAAGGAGGGTTGGGAAAAAATCCCTCCCAAATATGCGAAAATATGCAACAAATCCTCACATTTTTTTTTTTTTGTTGGGGGGGGGGGGGGGGTATTTTTTATTTTTACATCATTTTTGCATGTTCCTCCTGTGGAGGGGGCGGGCCCGAGTTCGCGGTGCACGGCCCCCGCGGAGGCCCGCGGCGGGCCTCCGGAGGCCCAGAAAAATGGCGATCCCCGGGGGCCCTAGGCGGGCCTCCTGCCGTCGCTCGGACGTCCATTTCCTGTGCATTTTTTTTGGTTTCGTGCTTTTCTGTTTTTCATTTTTTTTTTTTTTTTTTTTTTTTTTGCTTTGTTTTTTGTTTTTTTGTTTTTTTTCTTTGTTGCTCGATGGTCCAGGAATGCTCGATTTTTTTTGTGCTCGATTTTTTTGTTGTTGCTAGATGGTTCTCGCCGGAAAAAAAATGCACACGTCCGAGCGATGCCAAGGCCCCTGGAGGTCCAGCAGAGTGGCGACCGGCCGGCCGCCCCGCTGCCTGCTCGAGGCGCCAGCGGCCTCTCGCACGGCCTCGCCGCATCGGCCCCGCTTCCCTCTGTGCGCGCCGCTGGGGCCAGGCGCCCGCCAACGTGGAGTACAGGCCATTTTTTAATAATTATATATATATATATATAAACAGGATTAACTTATGTATACATGTATGCATGAACTCATCGTGGTTTTTAATGCTCAATCCCTGCATTCTTAATACATGGTCCGCGCGCGGAGCATGTATTAAACACGGCACTGTACCGTCAACCCGTATAATAGGGACGCGCGATGAGGATGCAAGAGCCTTGGAAGGCCATGTCGACACTTCCGCGGGCGGGGCGCGGCCAGCAAGAGCGGCCAAGGATGGACCGAGGAGGCAAGGATGCAAGGGTGCCCTTGGCAAGGTTGCCCATCCTTGCTATGCGGGTTGACTGTACGTCTCGGGAAGGGCACCCCCGCAGCCTGAGGCCAAATGCCGCCCGATCGGGCGACGGAGCGCGCCGGCTCTGTGCGGAAGCGGGGCCCGTCGGTCGCGGATCCATATGCGCCCCGCTCCATGTTTGTTCCTCGATGCGGGTTTTGGAGGCCTTCCGATCGGTGTCCGAGTAGAGGGGGTCGGAGGATCGCGCCGCATCGCCGATGCATCGCCGATGCATCGGCGATACATCGGTGATGCGGCGCGAGCCTCCGCTCCCCTCTACTTCCACCCCATGTGGGAGGCCTAGAGGCTTGGCGCCGCTCATTCGCCTATGAATGGGGTTCAGACTTCTGGTGTTCAGAGTCAGCGATGGCCAAGCTGGGCGAATTAAGGCACACATACTTTCAGAACAAATGCTGGCCCGGGCGAAGACTTTCCACAGGAGCTATCAGGGAGCGGCCAAGGACAGCCCATCTTTTTTGAGACCTCATGCGGCCTGAGCCCACCTTTCCCAACCCGCGAAAGGCTGACCCCCATTAGCAGGCGAAGGAGTGCCCCCCCCAGGCCCAGACACGCGACGTCCTGACGTTTTCCATTCGGGGTCGCCGAAGTCCCGACCCTTTCCCCAGGAATCTTTTTTTTGTTCCCGCGACTCTTCATCCAACGACCAGGCCATGCTTTCTGTTCTCCCAGCCCGCAGGCATGGCAATGCCGTGCCTCGGATCAGGCCCGCCTGCGCTGGATCACAGGGGCTGGGGGAGGGCAGCTCAAAGGGTTGCGCTACAGCCCAACGCCACAACTCCTCTGCCCACGAAAGGCCTCCAGGATCGCGGGCGGCTATGCGTAGTTCCAGAGCGGCGCCCAAACCAGCGTTGCGGGTGTCAATTTCAGCCATTTCTCCTTCATGCCATACTTCTTGACCAAGTCGGACAAGTTCGCGCTGCCCTGCGGGAACGAGCCCAAATTTACCGCCACGTGCGCTGCGGGCCAATGCTGTCAAACATATGTTCCTTACTATCGGGGATAAACGCACGCCCATCCTCTTGCGCAGCGCCATGATGTCCATGAACGTCGACCACCACCTTTGGTACCCACACACTTGCATCGCCGCGCCAGACACGCTTGGCTCGGCGAGCCCCTTCGAAGAAGCGTCCGTGACGCATTGCCAGAAACTCTCCGCTGAGCGTGAGGTTTTGATTTTGTGGCGCACTGGGAGCCTCTGTTGCTCCGACCCCTATACCGAAGGTCCTTAGGTAGTGCTTTGGAGACACAGGTATTGTCAGCAGCATGGGATCGAGCTGGTCATTGGACTTCTGCCCCGACCCCGTGGATCACGTTTTAGCTCTGTTCAAGGCCCTCTGGCGCATCCCCCTTGGAGTCTGGTCAGGCCCGGAGTGCCTCTCTGCATGGCGCAGGTGGCGATCGCCCACAAGGAGGGCAGAGGTGCCGGCTGGCCAGAGCCGCAAAGGCCCTGGCTGCTTCGGCGACGGCGCCGACGGCACAGCAGCAGACCCCTGGCGAGCGGGCCACTGGCGAGCGGGCACCGCCCACAGCCGAGCGAGGGCGGGGCAGCGGCGCGGGCGTTCATGGCCGGGCGGCGGGGGTGCAAGCCGCGTGCGGCTGCTCGGCCGGCTGCCGAGGGCGCTCCCGACCGGCTCGCGGAGTTCGCCGGAGCGGGGAGAGGCTTGAGCCAAAGGCTACGGACCCTTTCCCCAGGAGTGGCTGTTCATCCTGAATCGTTTCTTGAGGGTCCTGGGACCCGGCGAGGGCCACCCAGAGGCCGAACACAACACGATCAAAAACCTCTCGCCCCGATTTTCGTCACGACTCGGGCATGTCTGGGTGCCCTTCTTGGGCGGCGCGCACAAGGGGGCAGGGGCAGGGGGGAAGGCCTCTCAGGAGGCTGCCTGTTCGAGGGCGCTGGCCCCACATCTGCGGACCAGGCCCGCGCCTCCCGAGAAGCCACCTCCTTCTACCATGAAGCCTTCCCCCCTCCCCCCCCTGGCCCTCTCTGCGCGTGGCCGACTTTCCCCCCCCCCCCGGGCTCCGCGGTCTCCGCGGCCCTCGCGGGCACGTTGTCCTCTGGCGGCCTCCGGGCGCACGCGCGCCGGCAGGGGACTGGGCCGGAGGAGGGGGTGGCCACCAGCGGCCGCCCCGGCGGTCGGCACCCCTTCGGTGGCGGCGTGCCCGGGCCGCCCGGCGTCCGCACGCCTCGGACGACGGCGACGATGCCGCCGCCGCCGCCGCCGACGACGACGACGAAAACGGCCAGGGAAGGGGGAGGGAGAGAGAGCGAGCGGTGGCCAGAAGGGAGCAACCAGTGGCATGAACATCAGAACTCGGAGGCCCGCGCGGATTCCCCGCATCGGTGCTGGGGCCCCCTGGCGGCGCCCCTGGCGGCGCCCCTGGCGGCGCCCCTGGCGCGCTCTGCGTCCAGCGCCGGTCCCCAGCATCCGCGCGGACCTCCGCATCTTGATGCTTGCGTCATTGCCTGTTCCTCGAGGCCATGTGACCCAGGCTGGACGCGGAGACGTCGGCGCCGGCCGTGGTCATCCCCCTCTCTTGGTCATCCTCGGGGCTCGGCGACGGCCGGCGGGGGCCATGGCCAGGGTCGGCGTCGGCAGGGTCCCGCGGTGTCTCGGTCATGACCGTCGTGCTTCCTCCCCCGAAGGGGGGGCGCGGCCCTGACGACGGAGCAGCCTTGTCGCGAGAGGAGGGCCACTCGTCGGGTGCTGCCAGAAGCGGCCCTGCCTGGAGCGCCATGGGCTTTTTGCTGCATGGGCGATCTCGGACCCCCTGAACCCACAAGCGTTTTCATCCGACTCTTCGAGTCTAGGCGCGCTTCCCGTCATGTGCCAGCGTGGGTGCCCGGTGCAATCCGCCACCAAGAATAACAATTTCTACCACCGACAGACGGTCCACGCCAGGGGCGCTTTCCGTCATCCGCCACCGTGCCTGCGGCACGTTGAGGCGTGCAAACCTGATCGGACAAGAACGGGAAGCGCCGCTTTAGTCAAATGGGCTGATTGCACATCAGCGCGAGGACGAAAAGAACGAGGGCGAGTACGAGGAGGACTGCGGAGGAGGAGGACGACGACGACGGAGGACAGTAAGAAGCAATTAGAGAGGGACGTTGAATCAGGAGAGGGTCCTGATGACCTCATCGGGCTACCCGAGGGGCTTCTGGCGCCGCGCGGGGTTGTCTTGGGGCCTGTAAGGGGCTTCTTGGGGGCCCTTTAGATCCTCTTGTGGGCTTCTGGGGTCTTCTTGGGCTGTCTGGGCGCGTCGTGGGCTTCTTTGGGAGCTCGCTTGGGCCGTCTCGGCGCCATCTTGGACCGTCTTGGGGCTTTCTTGGGCCGTTTGGCGGCCTCCTGAGGCGCTCACGGGAATCTCCTGGGGCCCTCTTGAGCTGTCTTGGGATTCTTGTGAGCTGTCTGGGTGCCTCCTGGAGCGCTCTTGGGGGTATCTTCGGGTCCTCTTGGGGCGCTCCAGTAGCGTCCACCTGACTGCACCACCCCTGCTCCCGCGGCGTCCCTGGGCGGACATGGCGCCTCCCTGGGGCTCTCCACGGTTTCCATGACGGCCCAGGAGGTCCCCAAGACGGTCCAAGAGGGCTTCGAGATGACCCAAGAGGCCTCCGAGGCCTCCAAGAAGCCACCAAGAGGCAAACATCGTTGATTTTCCTAAGGTTTTCGGAGGATTTTGTCGTTCTCGCCTTTTCGGCAACCCGAAGCGAAGCTTCAAGACGGCCCACGAAGCCCATAAGACCACCCCAAAACGGCCCAAGAGGCCTCCAAGAGGGCCCCAAGACGGCCTAAGAGCGCCCAAGAGGGCAATTAGGGCCCCAAGGCGGCCCCCAAAGGGGCCCAAGGGAGGGAGCACGAACCGAAACTCCGAGCTGCCTTCCGCCCCAAGATGCCCCCAGGAGGCCCCAAGAGGCCCCAAGAAAGAGGCGCAGAAGAGGCCCCCAAACGACCCCCAAGAGGCTTCACAACTGCCCCCCAAAAGGCCTCCCACGAGACCTCAGCGAACATCCGATAGGCTTCATACGCACAACCCAGGCCTCCCAGAGGCCCTGCGATGCTCCCAAAATGCTTTTGGATGGCCCGACAAAGCACAAAGAAAACCCCAAGGCGGTCCCAAGATGAGCCCAAGATGGACCAGGGCGGCGCCTGCCATTGAGGGGCAACGATATGGGGGGGATAGGCATAGGGGGGGAAACATCGACCTGGAATCGGCGATACATCGCCGATACATCGGTGATAGGCCCCCAATAGCAAATCCGCACCTTCCTGGGCGATTTGGGGTCGATGCATCCCCCCCTGTGCCTATCCCCCCCCTATCGTTGCCCCCGAGCCATCTGGGGGACCGACCCTGGCAGGTCCTGGGATCAAGGGGCACATGTGGCGATCAGACGTAGCGTTTCGATCAGGAGAAGCGGTCCGCGGCCGCCTCTCAAGCGGGGCGCGCTCGGCATCACTTGGGATGCAATCGTTCAAATTGCGCACGTTGCCACAGTAAACGCATTCGTGATGACATCGCGGCAGGTCATAACGTGCAGTGTGCGAGCGCGACGTGGCATGACAGCAGTGATGCAAACTGCGACGCTGGTGTTGACACTGCAAAGGAAAGACCTCCCTCAATGCACCCATCTGTGACCGAATGTCTTCACATCAAGGTGCGGCAACACACATATGTAGTCAATAACAGCAATGGCTTGCAGTGAGGCGTCGTCCGCTGGCCTGATTGCTCTTGGCCGAATTCTTGGTGTTGGGTCCTTGGCAGGCTCTCTTCCCTTTCGCCTTCGAGCACGCTTCTGCGATTCATGCGGGGTCCTTTCTGCCATGCACCTCTCGCCTATCTCGTTCGAAGGCTCCCATGGTGCGCAGCAAACACTGCGCCCACCCCCTCGGCAGAACGCAACACGAATGTGCCAGAGAAGATGCTGGCGTCCGAGTCGCGGGCGGAAACAATGAGCTGGAACCCACGGGCAGATTGCGAGGCCCCCAAAAGCTCTCTGCTCCACCCTCCCTGCCCTGGCCCTGACTAGGAGAATAGGCCAACCGGCCCCACAATCTCAGTGCCCCGGGGCGGAAAGGGGTAGGAGGAAGGGGAGGGGGAAGATGAGCAGGAAGAGAGGGGAGGGGGGAAAGGAGGAGGGGGGAGAGGAAGGGAGAGGAGGAGGACCAGTGTGAACCCAAGACCCATCAAGGGTGTTGCAGTAAACCCTCCCTCCAAGTTCCCTGTCCATAAGCGCCTGCAAGAATTTGCGTTCACTGCGGGACGTGCACCGTTGGAAGACAACCGTCTTACAATCCTGAACCGTGCCAATATATCATTCCTGGGACTTCAACGCCACCAATCAATGCTAATGTTGCGCCCTGACGAATTTGAATCGTGTCGGAACAAGATTCACGCGGACTTCAACACCGCGAGCCAGCGTGACTGTTGCACCCTGGCAATCCCGAGTCGTGCTGGTCACCCATAAGGATCCTTGATACCGTTGTATCATTTTAACACGTACGGGATAACTGCAGTTCGAGGAAGGAGCCGCCTTCAACCCGTGAAGCTCTTGCAAGCTTCACAAACTCGCGCTGCATTCTTGCAATGACCACATGTGGAACAAATTCGCCAAGCGAAGGACCCAACCATATGCAGCTGTGAATACCGCGGTCGTGAGCATCGTGTTCGGTGGAGCTCCTTATTGGGGCACGAACCGTGTGGCGGGTGTGCCGAGGTGGATTGGCGGCGGCGCGCGGGCGCTGCCACTGGGGCCTTCGGCGGAGTTTCCTATGAGGCCTTCGGCGCAGCTTCCTCTGTCCGTGGTCTGTTTGATGGGGGGGCACTAGGCAAGCTGGACCGTCCAAAATGGCCCTTCCCCCCTTTCTCTCCCTCTTTGCCCGCGCGCTCTAAAGTCCAAGGCTGCGTGCGCAGCGCAGCGCGGAGCCCCCGCGACGCGCGCCGGTCGCCCCGATGGGGGTCCCAGCGACGCGCGCGGGTCGTCCGCTGCGCGGAGCAAAGAGAGCTAGCTGGCTGGCTGATAGCGGGCAAGGCTTCGGCCGCTGGGCAGAGCGATGACGGGCGAGCGGGGCGCTGGGCAGAGCGCAGCGCGGAGTTCTAGCGACGCGCGCTGGTCGCCCGGAGAGGATTCCAGCAACGCGCGCGGGTCGCCCGCGGCGCGAGGCCAAACGGTTGGACAATCGAGAGAAGGCGCTGTTCGGGCGGGCCAGCTCCCCAGGTCCCGCCTTACGGATAAACTCGGTGAAGCCTAGCTCCCTGGCGAGGGCCGTCGCCTCCCTCCTGCACCGGTTCGTGCGCGCCGCAAACTGCTCCAACTGCTTCCTCAAGCCTTCTGGCGACCTGGGGCCTTCGGCACAGCTCCCTACGGGGCCACGAGCCTTGTGAGGGGTGTGCCGACATGGGCACGCGGCGGTCTGGGTAGGCGCATGTGGACGCTGCCGCTGGGGCCTTCGGTGGGCAGGGAGGGCGCATGTGGACGCTGCCACTGGGGCCATCGGTGGAGCTCCCTATGGGGCAACGAACCGTGTGAGGGGTGTGCCGACATGGGCATGCGTTGGGCGGGGAGCGCGCATCTGGACGCTGCCACTGGGGCCTTCGGTGGAGCTCCCCATGGGGCCACGAACCGTGTGAAGGGTATGCCGACATGGGCATGCGTTGGGCGGGGGTGGCGCATGTGGACGCTGCCACTGGGGCCATCGGTGGAGCTCCCCATGGGGCCACGAACCGTGTGAGGGGTGTGCCGAACTGGGCATGCGGTGGGCGGGGAGGGCGCGTGTGGTCGCTGCGACGGCGCATGTGGACGCTGCCAATGTGGCCTTCGGTGGAGCTCCCTATGGGGCCACGAACCGTGTGAGGGGTGTGCCGACATTGACATGCGTTGGGCGGGGAGGGCGCATGTGGACGCTGAAGCCTCCTATGGGGCCACGGACCGTGTGAGGGGTGTGCCGACATGGACATGCGGTGGGCGGGGAGAGCGCATGTAGACGCTGCCACTGGGACCTTCGGTGGAGGTCCCCATGGGGCCACGAACCGTGTGAGGGGTGTGCCGAGATGGACATGCGGTGGGCGGGGAGAGCGCGTGTGGACGCTGCCACTGGGGCCTTTGGTGGAGCTTGCTATGGGACCACGTGTGAAGGGTGTGCCGAAATGGACATGAGGAGGTCGGAGGCATGCAGGGAGGAGGAGGAAGGAAGGATGAAGGAACGAGGGGCGTTGTCTCTTCAAAACGAGGACCCAACGCCACAGGATGGTTGGGGTAAAAACAGACGCTGCTCTCCACTCGTGAAGTTCCAACAAATTTTGAAAACGGATGCGTGAGGCGCTGAGGCGAGCCACATTTGAACACCTCCCGCCCTCCGTCCGTGAAGCTGCTGCAGGCTCTGAGCACGAACCTGCTCGGCGCTCTCGCGAGAACCACACTTCGAACAATGGCTGCGCTCCATCCCTACAGCTCTCGCGAACTCTGGACAGGAATCTGCGCGGCGCTGCGGCGACAACATGTGAGGCGAAACGTCTGGGCCGCCCTACAGACACGTCTCGGGGCACGGCAGGGAGGAGTTGTTCATGAGTGGAAGGGCTGGAGGGCGAGGAGGGGAGAGGACCAATGCAAGCCCGAGGCTCCTCAACGAGGTCGCAATCCACCCTCCCTTGACGTTCCCTCTTCACTTTTTTTGGTCGGTGGGGCGAGAGCGAACCTCTTCCGCTAAGACGTTCCCTCTTCACAGGCCCCATACAAGAAACTTTTCCCTTGCACAGTTGCCATCTAGAGCTCGGACCTGTTCCTTCCCGTCCAATCACTGCCCCTCCTCCCGTCCAGGGCCGCGGACTGCTAGAGTCTCTTGCGCAGCGGTGTTCCAGGGCTCCGAGCCCTACATTCGCTCGTCGTCGTTCGTTCGTTCGCCCATCGCCCGCCCCAGGCTGCCCTGCCCCTGCTTGCCCACGATGGCCATGATGGCCCCAGGAGAACCTGGCCATCGCTCGGACGTCCATTCCTTGTGCGTTTTTCGGTTTCGTGCGTGTTTTTTTCCGCAGGATGATCCAGGATGCTCCTTGATAACCCCCGCCGAGAATTAAGTGCACACGTCCGAACGATACCAGGAACACCAGGACGGCAGCCCCCCCCCCTCGTCCCGCCTCGCCTGGCCCCCGCCCTCGTGCAGGAGCCAGGGCATGCGCGCCACTTTCTGTTCGTCGTCGTCGTCGTCGTCGTCGTCGTCGTCGTTCGCGTCGTCGTCGTCGTCGTCGTCGTCGTCGTCGTCGTCGTCGTCGTCGTCGTCGTCGTCGTCGTCGTCGTCGTCGTGTCGTGTCGTGTCGTGTCGTGTCGTGTCGTGTCGTGTCGTGTCGTGTCGTGTCGTGTCGTGACGTGTCGTGACGTCGTCGTGTCATGCCGTGCCGTGTCGTCGTCGTGCCGTCGTCGTCGTCGTCGTCGTCGTCGTCGTCGTCGTCGTCGTCGTCGTCGTCGTCGTCGTCGTCGTCGTCGTCGTCGTCGTCGTCGTCGTCGTCGCGGCTTCACCTGGCCTCCCGGCCCCCTGGCCCTGGCCTCTCCCCCAGCCTGCCCTGCGCCCTGGCCTCCCCTGGCCCCCCCCCTGGTCTCCCCTGGCCCTGGACCCCCCCCCCCCCCCCGCAGGGCTTCGCCCCCCAGCCTCCCCTGGCCTCCCTTGGCCCTGCCCCCCCCCCTCCCGACACCCCAGGGCTTCGGACTGCTTCATTTTCGTAGTCGTCGTCGTCGTGTCGTGTCGTGTCGTGTCGTCGCGGCCTACCCTGGCCCCACCTGGCCTCCCTGGCCTCCCCTGGCCCTGGCCCCTCCCCCAGGGTCCGAGGTGGTAGCCCTGGCTTCTGGCCTTCCTGGTAGCCCTGGTCCCCGCTGGCCCTGGCCGTTCCCAGGGCTTAGGATTGCTGTGTTTTCGTCGTCGCCGTCGCCGTCACCGTCGCCGTCGCCGTCGCCGTCGCCGTCGCCGTCGCCAGCGCCGTCGCCGTCGCCGTCGCCGTCGCCGTCGCCGTCGTCGCCGTCGCCGTCGCCGTCGCCGTCGCCGTCGCCGTCTCCGTCTCCGTCGCCGTCGCCGTCGCCGTCGTCGTCGTCGTCGTCGTCGTCGTCGTCGTCGTCGTCGTCGTCGTCGTCGTCGTCGTCGTCGTCGTCGTGTCGTGTCGTGTCGTGTCGTGTCGTCTTGTCGAAGCCTCCCTGGTCTCCCCTGGCCCTGCCCCCCCCCAGGGCTTCGGATTGCTTTAGTTTCGTCGTCGTCTCGTGCCGTGTCGTCGTGGCCTCCTGGCCTCCCTGGCCCTCCCCTGGCCCTGCCTCCTCCTCCTGGCAGCCCTGGCGCCCCCCGGGGTTCTCTGGCCTCCACTGGCCCTGACCCCCACTCCGAGTCTTCCCTGGCCTACCTAGTTTTCGTCGTCGTCGTCGCCGTCTTCGTCGTCGTCGTCGTCGTCGTGCCGTGCCGTGCCGTGCCGTGCCGTGCCGTGCCGTGCCGTGCCGTGCCGTGTCGTCGTCGTGCCGTCGTCGTGTCGTACCGACAATGGCTGCAAGAGAACACCAGGACAGCCCCGAGAACCCGCCCTTTCTCGCCTCCTCACCTCGCTTCGCCTGGCCCTCGCCCTCCCTCGTGCAAGGGAAAAGGCAGGCGTGCCACTCGTTTTCGCTGCGGGCCATACTCCATTGAAAGACAACCGTCTGATAAGCCTCCATCGTGCCAGAACACCATTTCTGGGACTTCAGCGCCGCGAATCATAGTTACTGTTGCGTCCTGACAATCCTGAGTCTTGCCAGAAGTCCATTCTGGGGACTTCAACACCGCGAATCAACGTGACTATTGCGTCTTGACTGCCCTAAGTCGTACGGGAACACCATTCTTAGGACTTCAGCCATACAAGCCCTTGGGATAGCTGCGACGATTTACGTATGGGCGCCGCGGCAGATCGCGCAGTCGGGCACCCTGGCTGGAAGCACCGAGCCCTCACACGCATCGGCGGATGGACGGAGAGATTAGAAGTCTCGTAGAGTTAGGTCGGGCCTGTCCCCCTACAGGGGGGGATTTTGGACGAAAAAAAAATACTCAAACAGTTTTCAAAAGATGCCCCAAAATACCCCAAACATAGTCCCCAGACTATTCTTTGACTATTTTTGAATATTCCCCCTGTATAGGGACAGGCCCGACTTAATCCTAGATGGGGTCGGCGTAGATGGGGTCGGGGGATCGCGCCGCATCGCCGATACATCGGCGATGCATCGGCGATGCACTGGAGACGCATCGTCGACGTGGGCGATGCATCGGCGACGTCGACGTGGAGCGAATCGGGCTCCACATCGAGCCGCACTGGCGATGTATCGGCGACGCGGCGCGATCCTCCGACCCCATCTACTCCGACCCCATCTGGGAGGCCTAGAGAGATTGTGGTGGGGAGAGGGGGGGGGAGTGTGGGAGAGATGGGAGCACGACAACGAGTGCAGGGGCGGGAACGGCCGCAGACCTCGAGACTGACTGCGGGAGCGCACAGCTCCTCTCTCGTCCGTCCACGCCTGCCCCGCCCCCCGTTGCCTCTCGGCCGCACGCAAAGAGAGGGACCCCAGGCAGGAGCGGCCTCTGGCGCGCGGCTTGAGGGGACCGCGGGGGGCGGGCCCAGTCCGAGTGCGCAGGCCAGTGCCCCGGGGGGGGGGAGGATCGCTGCGGCCCACACCGAGGACCACCCTCCGGCGAAGGGCCACCCTTGCGCGTGGCCGACCCTCATCGGGGACGCAGTGGCCCGGGTCAATGCAAGCCCGGGTCCTCCTCCTCCTCCTCCTCCTCCTCCTCCTCCTCCCCCTCCTCCTCCTCCTCCTCCTCCCAATCAGGCCTTGCAGGATCAGGCAGGATCCTGCACCCAGGCCCCGGTCCATGCACCCCTGGCCCTGCAGGATCCCGCAAGATCCGGCACTCTGACCGACCCCCGTGTGCACCGACCCCCGCTGCTCGAGCCCCGACCTGCGCCCCCTGGCCGATCGCCGAGCGCGCGGGCTCCTTCCACGAGGGAGGGTCCAGGGCCTCGTCGTTGAAGCGAGCCTTCACGTCCTGTTCCGAGTGCAGGCGGGGGGTGGTGAGAATGCGGGCAGGGAGTTCGCGGGGCCTCCGCGGCCAGCTCCGTGAAGAGAGCGAGCGTGCCCCCACCCCCTGTAAGCAGGCTGGAGAAGGACGGCGAGGGCATAGCACGAGGGATAATGACGCGCGCGCGCGCGTGTGTGTGTGTGTGTGTGTGTGTGTGTGTGTGTGTGTGTGTGTGTGTGTGTGTGCGTGTGTGTGTGTGTGTGTGTGTGTGTGTGTGTGTGTGTGAGTGCGTGCGTGCGTGCGTGCGTGCGTGCGTGCGTGTGTGTGTGTGTGTGTGTGTGTGCGTGTGTGTGTGTGTGTGTGTGTGTGTGTGTGTGCGTGTGTTCAGCGTTCCGAACTTACCCTGTCTCCGCCTCGTCGCTGCCCGCGGGGCCGCTGCCGCCAGAAGATTTTTTTTGTTGGTGTGTGTGTGGCTCGCTGCGACATGCGGTAGCGTCTGTGCCCTTCTCGCTCTGGGTAGCGCACGCCTGTACGTGTTCCTCTGCCTTGTTCTCTGTCGCTGTCGTGAGGCGGAGTCGCCGTACTGCTCGTCTCCGTCTTCGGGCGGTGTCACACTTTTCTCACTTGCCACCCACGTCTGGGTGGCCTATGGGCGGTCGATCCGCTGGGATCCCGCTTCCGAAAACTGGCCGCACGCGCTAGATCCGTGCTGCTTGCTCGACTTACTCCGCTTCGTCGCTGCGCGCGAGGCCGCGATCGCCACAAAGTGTGTGTGTGTGTGGTGTGTACGTGTGCGCGCGTGTTGAAATCTCTAGGTGGGTTCACGTGGCCACACACTTGAATTGGCTTCGTGCTATGCGTGCCTGTAGTTTTGTCATAGCGTGCTATATGTATACGTGTACGATGATTCGCCAGTACTTTCGGCACGTAGGGCAGTGCCCCAAGGCCCATGAAGCTCTGCGAGGGGCATGGTTTGTGATTATAAAGGGTTCGTAAGGGCCCAGACCCCGCGTTTCCCAGCCGGTCCTGGGCGGTCCTGAACGCTGTCGGAGTGTGACGCCCGAGCTTTGGGGCGCCACGAGAGCCCCAAGACGGGCCGAGAGAAACCTAAGAAACCCCAAGGACGGCAGTAGTGGGTCCCGAGTCGTCGAGCGATCGGTTCAAGATGCCCAAGGTGATCGCCAGACGGCCGAAGATGTCCCAAGAGGCCTCCAAGAGGCCTCTCAAGACGCAAACAACCTTTTCATTCCTGAAGTTTTTGAGCGATTTTGGCGTCTCGCCTTTTCGGCTTCCCGACGCTCCAGGACGGCCCAAGAGGCCCTAAAGATCGCCCCAAGGCGCGAGGACTCCACGAGGGTCCTAAAACAGCCCCATATGGCCCCCCAACAAACCAAAAGTCGCCCAAGACGGCCCCAGACGCCCCCAAGACGGCTCCAAGAGGGGCCCCGACGGGGGACCCGAATGGACATTGCGAGCTCGCGGCCCTGGGAGGCCCCTGGGAGGCCCCAAGAGGCCTCAAAGGCCGTCGGTGGGGCTCCCTACCTGGCCGCGAAGCGTGTGATGGGTGTGCCGAAATGGGTGCGGTGGGCGCATGCGAACGCAGCCACTGGCGCCTTCGGTGAAGCTCCCTACGGGGCCACGAAACGCGTGAGGGGTGTGCCGGACTGAGCGTGGGTGACGCATGCGGGCGGTGGCACCAGGGCCTTTGTTGGAGCTCCTTATGGGGCCACGAAGCGCGTGAGGGGTATGACGACATGGGTGTGGGTGGCGCATGCGGGCGGTGGCACTGGAGCCTTCTGCGGAGTTCCCTACGGGGCTACGAAGCGCGTGAATGGGGTGTGCCCAATTGGGTTTGGGGGGCGCATGCGGGCGGCCCCGCTGGGGGCTTCGGTGGTGAAACGTACGGAGGGAGGGGGGGGGGAGGAGAGGAGGGGGGAGGAACGCGGGGGCTGTCTCTCTCTCTCTCTGTCTGTCTCTGTCTCTGTCTCTCTGTCTCTCTGTCTCTCTGTCTCTCTGTCTCTCTGTCTCTCTCTCTCTCTCTCTTTACCAACCCACCTCTGATTGAGAGCCCTCTCGTTTCCTTCATTCCTGTCTTGCTTGTGTGCCGTTCTACGCTCGCGCCTCGCTGCCATTTCTGTCCAGGCCTTCTGGGGTGAGACGGGCCCACGGTGTGCTCATAGCCCGTCCTCACGGCACCTCGGTATCACGATACCGACCAGTGGCCAGCGATGCTCTCTCTCTGAGAAAGAAAGGTGGTTCGCAGAACGGGACTCTCTCACAGCTTGTGTCTAGCCGGCTTGGACATCCTGAGCAACGGAGACGCAAGGATCACGCACCAGGTTCTGGACCGCGCTCATACCGTCCTGAGGCGCAGCAGCAGCAGCACCCTTCCCCCACCTCTTCTCCGAGATTCCCGTACGATGCACCCGACATTTCGGACAGTTATCAGTGCTTTCGAGATCTACACCCTCGTGAAGAAGCTCTGCCATCGAACAGGAAGATGGCTTCGGGCAGTGGCACAGGCTTCGGTACCTTACTACCAGATATTCACCCCACTCTGGGACATGGAGATGGCCTGGAGGAGATACCAGGCAGAGATCCAAGCTCGAGATGCACAGACGGAGAAATGCCCCCTCTCGGCAACGAGCATCAGGATGCTCGCGGGACGCACAGCAATGTTGGGAGACGACACCAGCAGCATGGAAAGTCATCGCAATATGAGTTGGAAACATACTTCGAGATCGAATCCATGGTGGACGACGAGGTGGAGGACATGGAGTCCAACAGACTTTTGATTCCTCTCCCTCACGACCAGCCTCGCGCCCATGGACAGGCGCAAGCTTTTCTCATGCATGTACTTCGCAAGAATGCAGGCCTATCCCAAAGTGAAGCTGGAGGTGAAATCCGTTCCTGGCTCTGGACACGCCGTGCGCACCGCCACTTCCGCGCATATATCACATCCGTCTTTGCATTCTTGACCGAGTTCATTGGCTCACAACCGAAAGGGACTATAGCCTTTCGGGGCCCTGCTTTCTGAAGTACCCTGGGCGTCATGCTGCTGATGTCAGGCTTGGTGCGACTTCAATTTGAACTTCGATCCGCTTCACCATCGAGATGGGCGCGACAAATACTACGCCTCCTCCCTCCCGAGTGGCACCGAGGTATTCACGACTGGTCTGAGCCCGTGGTAGTTCTCGCCTTCAAAAGCATGCTAGGACTCCCGACGGACCCCCACAAAGCCATCGTCGACATCTTAGGCTCGCACTCCTCCGTTTACGTAAGCAAGGCGTTACTGAGATCAGGCGTTCTCTCGGGAGTCTTGGGGCGCATCCAGGAGCACATGCGGGGCTTGATGTTTCCCAGAGTTCGACCAGGTAATCGTCCTCGATATCGAGAACTTCGGAAAAACCCAGGGTCTCTGTTCTTCATCCCGTTCCCCTGGGTCCCCACGGAGGCCGCGAGCTTTCACTTCGAGGCGTTGGCGATACGACGGTTTAGACCGAATGGCAATCGAGCGGACGAACGAGAAACGGAACTCATAAGTCAAAGACGAGGCCTCGGGACCCTCTACTCAGCCCCCAAGAAGAAGAAGCCCCGTAGACGGCCACCATCCTGGAGAATGCGACCTCCCCGACGGATCCCCCCACCCGCCTGGTTGTCAGCTACTCCAGCAATATCAGAACTACCAGTGGTCCAGGTTCGAGGCCCCCTTGCCCAATTTCCAGGTGCGTTATCAGAATCTGCGCCATTTGGTGAACTGTATGTTTTACAGATCCGTGGGCAGCTTCATCTTACCCAGCAGGAGGGTCTACTGTGGCTGCTGGAACCTTCCCGCCTGGGATTACTCTTAGCTTACTTATCGGGGAAATGGAAGCCCCTTCCTTTCTGCAGATATAGCTATCGTGTAGAACAAGGTGCTATATATTTCAGAGCGGCAAGTATGTGTCATCTCTTTCTTCATGAATTTATGAGGCAGCGCATGGCTCGGTTTCATATCAATCGCACCTTCGCACGTTGAATCTTCCAGCTGCCAGGTGCCAGGTGCTCCGCCTTCCGCACGAATTTCAGATGTGTGAGTACCAGTGCATTATCCGAGGTGCTATCACGCACATGATCAACAGCATGAAGTTTTCCCCAGCCAGACAGTGGCACCAGAGACCCACTCGGGTCGCGTTCCAAGGCCAACGGATTTGGAACTATAGAACTTCTGCTAGCAGATTCTGCGCCGAGTGCAAGTCAGAGTGCCTCCCCGCCCCTGTCTCCGACTCGCAGTTCGTCTCAGGTCCTCTCTTTCTTCGAGCCCTTCCTGGCTGCTGGCGCTTACCAGTCTGGCAGACTCCCTGAGTCTCGGCGAGGGCTGCGAAGGCAGCCCTACTTTAGTGGACACAAGCAGCACGCCTGGGCCCCCGTCAGATCCGAAAAGGCCTCGACTACATCACAAAAAGGTTCTCAACTCCAGCAGGCTCCCACCATGACCCACGAGGACCCCCACCGACCAAATGGCAGGAGTTAGAATCGACCCTCCAGACCTCGGTGACCCAGGCGGACGGCAAGATTATCATTGCTGATGACAAACAAGGAGGTAAAGCATGGATGTTTGATGGTCCCGATGTTGTTCGTTGGCTCCATCAGACTGCTGAACTAGATGATGACTGGACTGTTAGATATGATCTATCTAGATATGATGCGGCTGTCTGGCTATGGACTCGTGCTTATCAAGGCTTACCTATTTGGCTACGTAAAGGAAATCTGATGCCTAGACCTTCCCAAAATACGAACCCACCGTATGTTTTCCCGACGGTAAAGAGTAACTGCTTCCTGGATGATGGTACTAGATGTTGTTCGAAGCCATGACATAGCTGTATGTGTAGGATCGTTAACTCGGCTGACGCCCCTGGGACAGAAGGTTTCAGATATATTGGACGGGCTACGCGCCACCTGCTGCAGGCCAGTGGGCTCTCATCTGAGGTGTTTAATATGAATCACGCAGCCCGCGAGATACGTTCCATCGTTGCTGAACTGGAGCC